TTTTAAGATTGAGGTAAATTGAGGTGAGGTTTTTATTATAAGCACGGGAGAAGAAACAAGGGATTAAATAAAATTACATTAACATTTTATTTCAAGTTGACAAGGCTCATATTATATCTCTTTAAAATATTATATTTCGCTGCATTGATAAATCTGTATCTCGTTAGTGATGTAGAATAACAATTATTAATATAACATCAACATAAATTAGCAGAGTTTACACTTACGCAATATGTTACATTAACAATTGGCACTATAGATGTATATCTATATAATCCCAAACAGTTTATTAGAAAATATACTATAAACGTAGTCATTGGCATGGTAATATTGCACTTGCAATATCGTTAAATCATTTCGTAAATTGCGAATTGATGGAATCCGTGTCTGCATCCTATAATTTCATTAAATCATTTTGTTTTAGCCAGCTAATATATGTTGATATAATCTTAACTCCTATAGAGACGTGTAAAAATATAAAATTCCTTTCAACCTACATACCTCTATATTTCTAGATCGTCATCAGACAATTGCTTCTTCAAAAGCTCCTTACAAATGCTTATTTCATACTGAAGCTTCCGATTCTTCTGCGATAAGTGTTTATGTTGGATTTTAACCCTATTGATATATTTTTGAAACTTGAACCATGCGTTTTCATCTGTAAAATCCTCTCTTCTCACGATTCCTAAGATACCATTTTGATATCGTTGCTTTTTTCGTGGTTTTAAGGTGTCATCTTTAATTTTTCTAAAAATAAAACATTAACATGATAATATACTATATAAAAAATACGTCTCTACACGTAAACTATATATATTTTGTTTTTAAAATAAAATGTATCATTATTGAGTAACAAGATGATTTATTACCTTTCCTTTGCTTGACTAGCAGTAGAGCTTAACGTTGCTTCATTGTCAGGATGAGTTGTCTTAATTGTCAGATTATTATTACTCGTCGGATTATCGATACTTGTGGATATACTCCATTCATTAACTTGCAACCTGTTATCACAAGATCCATTTTGAACAATATACTTTTCATGCTCCAAGTTAAGAGATTCACAACTGAAAATAATCCATCGATCAATCATACAAGGAAATTCAATAGAAAAAAACTAATAAAAAAATTAAAAAAAAATATCATACCTTTCATCATTTCTGTCCTCATTGTCGGTTAAAATATCTTTATCATCAGTTAAAATATCTTTATCATCGGATGAGGGATCAACAAATTCAAATTTAACTTCTCTGAATTTAATATGTCTGCTAGGAACCGCGGAAGGTTTTAATATATTCCTTATTAAATTGAGATCTTCTTTATTTTTAAAATCCTCCGCCTTGAAATGTTTGCTACATATGTAAGCAGTACGATATACCTTCCTTCCTATAGCTTCCCACCACTTCAACCTTAAATCCTCGTTTTTCGGAAACCTGAAAAGTTTAAATAATAAAAATCCACTTTCCCACGTCGTCAGCTGTATTATGTCATCTGAACGCTTTCACGTTAACAATTAACAAACATATTAAAGAGATTTGTGTGTTGCAGAATATTTAAAATCCTGTTACATCCCTTACCTGTGAAACGAGTAATTCAAATCCTGCATAGATCCCTTTTCGATTCCGCAAACGCAACAATTTGAAACCATTTTCCGTAGAGATATTTCTTTTATCACAGCACGGCAAGAGATAGAGATAAATGGATAAAAAGACAAAGCTGAGAACGTTTTTGGTTATGGTTGGTATATACAAGTCAGCGAATGTCTGACGAAGATGACTAGCCGTCCAACGTACGTCCTTCTCTAATGGCGTAACATTTTTCCCTTTTATTCACCAACAAAACAAAAGCTCAACAATCTTATGAACAATAAGGATACTGAATTAAAAATTGAAGAACTGATAGTTTTAGAACTGAAAAACTAAAAATTAAAATTTGACCGCGCACTAAAATAAGATGATTTTAATTTTAATCCATTTCGTCCTGATTGGTTCAATCTTGATCTCTTTCTTTTAATTCTAATTAATCATAATATTAAAAAAAACCTAATCTGAAGTTTAGTGGACTTTGTTCTGTTTTGTCAAATTTTAATCTAATTAATTTGATCCTAATCTGAAATTCTTTATAGTGCATTTCAAAATGTACCAACATACCAAAAATCTATAACACACGTGACGTGAATTATAGATTTTTTTCAGTGTGTCGGTACATTTTGAAACTATCAGTATATGGTACAGAGTTTACGGAGTAGCTCGTCTACCTATGCAAAAAACGTCAAAATACACGAACATATGCTGTTACGCACCGGCTGGGATCTATGAAAACAACAATGGCGTATTCCGTGAACATCTCCGTAGAGGCGCCGATTGAGAATCAGATACAGGAAATCACCTACGATGGCCAAGAGATTTACCAAGCGTACGTAAACGAATTTGGCGTTAACAGAGAATACAGTAAAGATGCTCGATTAACGGAATTTTCCTTGGACCCTAAATGCACCTTGCGTCTCTCGATTAACCTCATTTTTCGTCGAAGGAGGACAAGATTTTTCACGTTACTTTTTGCGTTATTGCATTGTAGACCTCTCACGTTATCGGAGAACCTGGCGAAGATCGCTCAGAAGATCGACTTCAGTAAGACGAACGGCGAGGAGGTGAAGAAGGAGCAGTTGGAAGGTAACGAGAAAAGCGAGGAGGACACGAAAGACCCCGCTTCGTTTCAATCCTCTTTATGGCCGTGGGACAGCGTTAGGAATAAATTAAGGTTCGTCGTGATTCTTCCTATGTGTCTAAAAAACGCCATACATTGCGATTGCAATAAGCACACGATATAACGTAACAAGCATACAGTTCGACAGAAGTGTGACAATGTAAACTGTGAAGTATGAGAATTGAATTTTCGATACCCTTTGTAGGAATGCCTTGACCGAGGTTTGCGTATTGGCCGACGTGCTTGCGATAGCGAAGGAAAAGAATTACATGGTATTGGATCCGGTGCCGCAGGAGTCGACCGATGTGAAATCGATGATACAGGTGTACGCTAGGAAAAAGGCGTTGGCGGGAGCGGCGTCGGTTCTCATGATGGGCGCCGAGAGACTGCGAAACTGCCAGGCCGAATTAGCCAGAACCAGATCCACCCCCGACTTCCACATCGAGCTGTTGAGATTGCGGCAAAACTGGCGTCTGAAGAAAGTGTCCAACTCCATCATCGGCGATCTCAGCTACCGAACTGGTTTGTTCTATTTTTTTTTTTATATTTATTTATTCGCAACACGATTTGTTAATTTTTATCGGGATAATAGTTGGGTGTTTTTAATATTCCTGTTCACTTACAATGTCACCCTGTATTTGTATATCAGCTGGCTCTAAGTACACGCAAACGGGCATGTTTGAAGTTACCAAAGCCGAGGAAGATGAAAAAAGTAGCAATAGTCCACCGGCGTCTCCTAATACCGGTAGCAATATGTCCGGGCAGTCTCACGGCCCTTCAAACTCAAAAGCGTCCGCCTTGCGCGTGACCATACCCAGCGAGTTGCAAGGTGTTGCGTACATCGAAGTATTATGCCAGAAAGGTAACGTAATAGAGAGAAAAGGGATTTGTATGAAAAAATTGTGCACATTAGATAAAAATCAAGTGTTTGTTGTTTAGATCAGGAAGATTTGTGCAACGCAAATATAAGTTTGCTCAACAGTAGTGCGAATAATTCAAATACCGATATGCATTGGCAGCAAAAGTTGGAAGCTGCGCAGAATGTTCTGTTTTGTAAGGAACTGTTTAGTCAATTAGCGCGGGAGGCTGTACATTTGCGCGCGCCTATACCTCACATGGTTGTCGGAAATCAGATAATGGCCACGGTACGTACCTCGCAAATAGAAATGCAATGATATATTGGAAAAATATGCTTAATAAATTTGTTTTTCTCGACACTTATACCAGGTACTCCCGGGAATTCAATTAATAATTGGCCTGTGCCACAGCACAGGCAGCGACAAGAAACCTACGGCACCACCGCCGCACAAAACGGACCACGATCACGTGCTGGAGCACTCCCTGCATCAATTGTTACGCGAAGTACATTATAACAATAGCAATCATCCGTTTCCTCATCCTGCCTCGGGGCCCCTCGGGCCTAGCAAACGCAGATACGTAGCTGGCCCTACCGCTGCCGATAGATACGAACTTCTGGAAATGACGAAGAGCCAGACTCTGCTAGAACAAATTATCCAACAAGCACAACACTTTTTCATGCGTTTGCGCACAGAATACGTGTTGGACACGATAGCGAAGGAGGTGAAAGATCCGCTCATCGTTTCGCATTGGAACGGATTGAATTCGCCGACGCAGTCTTGTGTAAAAATAAATATCTTGACACACGGATACGATAGCGTGTGTCGAACGTCGATGGTCGTTCACGTCGGTGAAAAGTCACTGAAATGCGTGTGTCGCGACGGTAGGGTGATGCACATGAGTTACGAGCCTCAGGAACTGAGGGACCTAATTTTCTGTCAGGTCAGTTGCTTTCACCTCTTTATCAACGTTCGTAAAATGTAAAACTATATAATTTAAAAATGTAATCATCCAATATAAAACATTCTTTTATTATCGGTAAAGTGGTATCACAATGTTCGTCATTTTTTTTTGTACACAGATTTATCAGCATCAAATAAGTGCAGTGCAGGCTCTCGCCAAGTGTATGGGCTGGCAGTTTCTAGCTAACAGCTCACACCTCGGCCTAGGTTCGGTGGAACCCTTGGGTAACGCCAGCAGTTGCATCCTTGCTTCGCCGATCGGCGACAGGTATTTTATAGTTCAAACTTTATGACATGGAAGGAAGAATCTTACATGTACGCACCTGCCTGTTTTTTTTAACCATCATTTGATCATGTTTTTAGGATGATAGCAGTACGATGCGAACCACAAACGGGTGTGCAGGTCGCCATTGCTCATTCTCCCCGAAAAGACTTCTTCCCTGGTCAACTTGTTCGAGAGAGAAAATGGGAGAATCTTGGAGGTTCCTTCAAAGAAGTCAGATGGGACAAGATGGAAGGGAGGAATTTTCTCAACAAAATGGAGCTACTCATGTCTTCTTTAACAAGTTCTTAAGTGTTGCAGATTACGGTCAAACTTTCGTATATTTTTTTTTGTTTAGGACTGAAAAGTTTATATTTTTTTATATCTTTAACCTGCACTTACATTCTAACGACATAGAACAAAATTGTTAGTGCACACATGGTCAATTCAGAGTAAGATAAGAAGCAAATTTTTCGATCCAAGTTGATTATGTGCAAAACGCAAGACGCATTTTTATTCTATGCGCGTGATCAAGCAATGTGAAATAATGGAAGGAGAAAAATCGAGTTTGTTAAACTGAGCAAATACATGAAATCTCATCTGTTCCGATGAGAAAAGTATATAAAAGTTCGACTGTATCGGCAACCGGAATGCAAATTTTTTTTTTTCAAGATAGAATCAGTAATTTTGTTTTCTAAGATAGTTCAATTATCCAGAAAATACAAGACGATTTATTGATAAAATGCTTTTTGATTTTATCAAGAGACAAGGAAGTTTTGTACAAATCTAATCTCGTTCCTTACCTCCTCTAATTATTAAAAACTTTTACTTACTGCTATTGAAATTTTATTTCTACGACTGTGATTTAGGATTATTTGGAATTACGTCAATTATTCATCCGTAGATACCGTATTGACAAAAATGATCAATAATTCAAACATGTGGAATATATAAATGTGAAACTTCAGCATACTTCAAATTTGTATAGGAAAAGAATTACATATAATTCATTGTAAATTTATCTTCATAGTGAATTAATTACATAACTGGAATTATCGTTATTATATATTATGTTATATGAAACTGTGGTATATATAGTTTTTACATCTAAAGAGCAATAACAGTAATTTATACAACTGGTATTTTACAAAAATTGTTTTCATTTCAATGTCATGCAAAATGCAATATGATTTTGAATAATAAACGACTGCGAGATGTGATAAGTGAAAATTAAATTAATTATATGTAAATGTCAAGAGATGCACGTGTCACAGTAATTGTCTTGTCATCGGTAGCTCCTCTTCTCTTTTTGTGTACAAAAAAAGTAACGAACAATTCCTTAGACTGTATCGTTTCTCTGTTTTAACCTATATATACTCAAGGAATTCACCTTTTAAGGCGCAAATTGTTGCACAGATATACATCTCATTTGATGCAATAATCATACATTATAGACACATACTTATATACATACACACGTACACGCGCATACACATTTTAGATTTTTTTTCTTCCTTTTTATAGTTTCCCGTTTTCTCTCTGTAGCCATATTAAATTACAATGCTAAAGCGAAAAATCGTGTGAATTTCTCTTTATTCGCACTGCATAAAAGAAATCAATATTCACTTGTGCCATCACCGTGTGTTCGATAATACAGATTGAAAAAAAACTTCTTTCATTATCCTGCATTAGAATAAACGCATATATAAATTAAATGTACTCTATACTTTGAAACTAGATTTTATGATAGATGGCTTTATAAATTGAAAAAAATTGCGTAATAACGTAAAAAAAGTTTATTTTAATATATAAGGTGCAAGAAAGAAAATGTACGCGGATTCCTCGCTTCTGACGTCACAATTCAACACGGCTACGATAGGAAACAATAGTCCTAAGATGTAAAGGGATAATGTACACTTCGACGTTATCCGGATCCGAACCGGATTGTTAGAGATTATTCTGTTTCATACAATTGTTTCGATGGATTAAGGGACGGACTAGCAGCTTGACCGAAATATCCTGTGCTAGAGCCTTTTACGAGAAAAAAATAATTGCAGGGCGTTTCACGGTGGGAAATACGCTTCGAAATATGTTAGTTTCAAAACATGCGACTGCAGTTGGTCAACGTATCGGATGTGTCGTAAACTGTATCGAATTTGGATAATGGAGCACACATCGCCGTACAAAATTTATTAATAATATTGCATATCAACGCTTCGTATTCTGCTTAATAATCCGAATGAAAAGAGTATCCTGCTCATTGTCTCCACGCGTATCGCGCAATGAAGCGACGAACGATTTTTCTCTTAGATATTAGCATGTAAAGCGAAAGTATGTTTGCCGTTTTACGACGCTCGTGTCCGTCGGAGATGGATCTCTTAATTTAACTACGAACGTGTTGGCGCACGAATTAAGTAACCTTCGGGGGGCTTTCAGTTTCTTCGGAAACATAGGATTAAGGACTGCGCGTGTCCACCGACGATCTTGAACGCGAGCGCAGCCGTTATTACCAGTACTATGTAAGCGGACAGTAGACTGGCCACGTACGCCTGATAGCGATTGAGCAAGGTCATGCACGAGACGACCAGATGCGACGCAACCACCCAGACGATCTGTCCCCAGTTTCTCTTGTCCAGGGCCGAGAAGAAGATGACGCCCCAGAACGTGTGCAGGAGGATGAAACACAGAGTGGTGGCGGCCGATATTATGAAGAAGTATTCGGTACCCTGCCGAAGTCCCATGGTGCCGGGCCCAACCGCGTCGGCCAGGACGTTGACTAGGGCGAAGGAGCCGCTCATGAAGCCGAACCCCAAGCCGCAGACATAAGCGAACACGTGTCTGCTGTCAGCCACGTGGGTCGTTGTAACTTTCTCCAGGCCCCTTTCGGCTTTGCGCAGCACCCAGTACAACAAATACCTTTGAAAAAAGATTTAAAAAAAAGTGATCCATAAGCTAGTTCACATCTACGTGCGTATATTTGAAACGTGCTGAACATGCAATGGAATTGTAGGGGTTACCTGAAGCCTTCCTGGAACAATACGGAGAAGACCAGGCCGAACGCGAGGTGGTCCTGCAGCGGAACGACGGCGTACCAGAGTGTCGACGACAGCAGCAGGGAGATGAGCCAGAAGAAGGCGCTGGCGATCAGGATGATGATTCTAATGGGCTCGGCGGCGACGGTGAAGGTGAACATGGCTAGTGGCGGGCCGAAGGCCAGACAGGCGCAACCGAAGAAATCCATGACGGTCATTTTTTCCTCGGTCGTGTGCAGCCGCGACCGTGGGGTCGCGCGCTCGGGGTCCTCGTCGACGCGTTTCCGCTGCCCTCTTCCTTTCTCTCTCTCCTTCCTCGTTCCCTTCCTCGTCGACGCTAGCAAACGACGAACCCTCTGACGATTCTAGGAGGCCACTTCGCGGCTCGGACACTCCCTTCTATCGGGCGCATTTATCCTTCCCGGTATATGGCGCGCGATCGGGAGCTCGACGAACGATCGCGCCGTTTCGTTCTACAAAGATACAAAAGCCTACGAACATTGGAAACGATCGCCCGGAGTCACCCGTGTGACAATTCGTGGACTGTCCCGTCACCCCGTCCACTGAGTCCAAGTCCACTCTTTTGACTCTCTTGCCTTTGCGTTGCGTGAGGTTATCGACAATACATCGACGACCGCTGTTCGGTCGACGGCTCTCCGATATGAGAGGCCGATATATCGAAAGTAACGAGATAATCGACAGGAAGTTCTCGTGACCGTTAATTTAAATTAAATTAAATTTAATTTTAATTTCAAACTAATTTAAACAAATATAAATACTAATTTTGTGATTTATTGTTATTCCGATGCTTCGTAGATAATGGTAGACATATATTTAGGACTCTCTTAATTAAAAACTGCAATTTTATCCGTGTAAGTTTGTGACAGTATCGCAAATCAATATCACATATCGATTTGATAAAATGTTCTGCAACTTTTTTATTTTTATTTTTATTCAATCAATCCGATTGGCGTTCCACAAGAATCGATCAATCGAATTTAAATGACACAATTCGAGTCGTTCCCGTCGAGCGCGCCTATTGGCTACTCCGATCGCGTTACAATTTGTCGCGGTGACAAATTAATTAGTTCCAAGGATACAAACGATGAAGTAATTAAAAAAAATTAAAAAGAGAATAAGGAAATTCGTCGCGTTTCCGAAGATTTCCGAGTTCAATCGCACGAACGGCGAATTTATGATTCTCGTTTGACAATTTTTCTCCATTACGAACGAGCTGCCGCACCGTCGCGCATGTGCAGGAAAACTGAAGCAAACCGGCGGCCTCCGGTTCAACAGCGCCGCCACCCAAGCCCCATCCGCGTATTCGTCGCCTCGTGGTCGCCCTCATCCTCGTAGTGGTGCTAGTGGTCGTCGTCCGTGTCGGTTGGCGCCCGCCGTCGTCGTGTCGGTCGTGTGCGTATATCGAGAGGTGTCTGCGCCAGCGAGGAAGCCGCCGCCGGAATCACGTGATCGCGGAGTACGGTATTACCGTGTATAATCGGGGACATGGCGGACAAGGACGAGACCGAGAAGACCATCGCCGAGGACTTGGTTGTCACCAAGTATAAAATGGCCGGCGAGATCGTGAACCGTAAGGAAACGGTGGCGCGTGTTCGCGCGGGGTGCGGGGAGGGGGGTCCGCGTGCATCGCGCGCGCGTTCCCTCGCCGTCGCGGCCATATGGAATGCGGCGCGCCGATGCCGGGGGCCCCGGCACATGGTCGCGGGCCCCCGACGTTCCCCGGCGTCGCCCGCTCGCGATCGCGCTCGCCCTCCCTCGTGTCGGTTCCCCGCGCGCCGTGCGCGAGGGAATCTATCTGTCCCCCCCCCCCCCCCCCCCGGGGGGGCGATCCTTGACCGAGCTCCGAGCGACTACGATCGGCGATTAGCTCCACTGGGTGGAGAAACGAAATTTTTAATAATCTAATCTCCTTTTCATATATTGAACAAAAAAAAATTTATCTGACAAAACGGTATTCATAAATTGAACCTCAATCGAGTTAATCGGAGTTCGGGAAAAGTCACCCCTTTACTTTTTGATCATTTGTTTAACACTATTGCTCGGTAATTGCTCGCATGCTTTTTGTTTCACTTGTTTAAAATACTTTAGAGTTAAAGCAAACAATCACCTCCTTCGGCTCGGCATTTAACAATTTAGCTTTCTCAACACGTGGTTCTTGTTGTAATTAAAGTATACTGAAATACGACTGGGTATTTTGCAGGAGTATTGAAGCAAGTTCTAAACAAATGTGTTGTTGGAGCCTCCGTGAGGGAAGCATGCGAGTTTGGTGACAAAATACTTACAGAGGAAACTAGCAAGGTCTTCAAAAAGGAGAAGGAACTTAAAAAGGGTATCGCTTTTCCAACGTGCATATCAGTCAACAATTGCATTTGCCATTTCTCTCCTATCGCCAGTGAACCTGATCTCATTCTCAAAGATGAGGATATGGTTAAAGTGTAAGTTTCTGCATAGAAGGTTCTTCTCTCTAATTTTTCGCAGGACTTATTTTTACCGTCTTATATGTCGAATAACATTGTTACAATCGGTTCTTCTGGAAAACTGATGTTACTTTAATATTGATTTCAAACATTTTATTACAGATTTAATATTTCGAATAATATTAATACAATAATTCAAATAGATCTGACATTTCACTCGTTGACTGCAAATTTGAGATAATTAATGAAATTTGTATAATTACAGTGATCTTGGAGCACATGTTGATGGTTTCATAGCTGTAGTGGCACACACTATCGTCATAGGATCCTCACCGGAGAAGAAAGTATCAGGCAGGAAAGCAGATGTAGTTTTAGCTGCGCACTATGCTTCTCAAGCTGCATTAAGGCTTTTAAAGCCAGGTACAGAGGTAAGATTGAGAATACTTGAGCGCTCTTGTTTCCGTCCTTTTTTTTAAGTCGTAAAAATAAAATTTCGTAAGCGTATCCTGATGCTCTCAACTATGCATTTCAGACTTATACGATAACGGGCACCGTAGAGAAAATATGTGATGCCTACAAATGTAAACCGATCGAAGGTATGCTAAGTCACCAATTAAAACAATTCAAGATCGATGGGGAGAAAACGATAATCCAGAATCCGAACGACGCGCAAAAGAAGGAGCATGAAAAGTATACCCTCGAGACTCACGAGGTACATTTTTAAATTGATATCAAAGTCTTTTGGAAATTTGCGATATAAGAGAAAAGAAGGTATGGCGTTGTATAGAAGGATCTTGATTTATTGTAAACGTTTAATTTCAGGTGTATGCAATGGATGTATTGGTTAGCACGGGTGAAGGAGTAGGGAGGGAACAGGACACTCGGGTTACGATATACAAGAAAACAGAAGAGACATATCAGCTTAAACTGAAGGCGTCTCGCATGTTTTACTCAGAAGTCTCCCACAAGCATGGTCTCATGCCTTTCAATTTACGTACCTTCGAAGATGAGAAGAAAGCAAAGATGGCTGTTGTCGAATGTGTAAATCATAGGTTGATCGAGCCATTCCAAGTAAGACTATTATTTATACGCGTATTTATTAGCTTTCTTTTAGTTTAACAGAATTCTTTCGGAGTATTTGTCATTGGTTATGATATATGTGCCCAATCGACTCTTGGTGAGAACGTAGAATGGGCGATGATTATTTTTTGCTCAATTTGTTTATAAACCTAGTCGGCGCGACTCCGCACTCGCGAAAAAGCCGCGGTTGGTTAGTGCAGTGCCGGGCTGCCATCTTGATAGGGGCATACGCGTTTATCACATTTTTCATTAAATCTTTCTGTGCAGGTGCTGTATGAGAAGCCAAACGAGTACGCGGCGCAATTCAAATTTACGGTACTCTTGATGCCTAACGGACCTCATAAAATTACTGGAATTCCCTTTGACCTCGATATGTATCAGTCTGACTGTGTCGTGGACGATCCTGAATTGAAGGTATGTGGAACGTTAAATTGAAAAAAGTAATAGCTTTGTAACTACCATTGCTATTGCAATCACTTATCCGTAATTGAAAATTACAGAACCTTTTATATTCCTCGGCAAATCCGAAATCGGCGAAGAAGAAGAAAAAGAAGGCCGAGAAAGCTGTAGGAGACGTCGCCATGGAAGTCGATGCTAAGGCCTAACACTGTCATTTTAACACACCCCATGACTTACCGGCATCGTGCACTACTCCGATACTTTTTATTTAGCGATCCAAGAGAACCAAGGCTGGACACTTTCGAACGTTTCGATCACTCAACAATCGGCGTAGCCATACCTTCATACGGACATTGCACAAATTACAAATGTCATGTCTTGCATTTCCATGCTTTGCATCGTCCCTATATGAATGATCAGCAATTGTCTGGTCACACATCTATATATTTCATTCATTCGAGGAAAGTGTCGAGTTTTGCTGCTCTGCCGAGAAAATTAAACTTTTATCACATTACAAGACAACACATTACGCCACAACTTTATCAACGCTTAAGTTTTTATACCAGACCATCTTTTAATAGACTATGGTATTATTATTATATACAGATTGATGATTAATTCATATGCAATTATTGTAGATTGCGTTTCAATCTAACTAACATTTCGTACGTAACAAATCTTGTGTGATCGTTTTCTAATCTAAACATTTAGATTGGCCGAGTTAAGAGAAGTGAATCGTATAGATCCAAAATATATCGATGACTATTTTCGCTTATCCGTAATTGAATTGATAAAGTTACATGGACTACATTTATTCGATTCATGTGCAAATTATTATTTAGACAGTGTCAGAAAATTTGATTTTCTGGACAGGCGAGTTGTGTAATATTATAACTTTTGAATATTTGCGCAAAATATAATTCTCTTTCATGCTGGTTCTGCGCAATTTTGTATCCAGCTATGAAAACTATACTATAACGTTCAACTTCAAATTGTACAATTGGAGGAATGTCCGTTCTTGGACGCTGCATAAACAATGAAATGCCAATGACTCCTCGAGTGTTTCGTTGCGAAAATACCCCCGACCGACAAAAAAAAAGATAAAAAAAAATTATTATATAAGTCTTTTCTACTCTGCGCAAATTATGAGTTGTGTGCGGAGTATGAATTGTTAGTAGCAACTGGAAATGCATCTTTAATATTGAATGAAAGTTTATTTGAGCGAGACGTGATATAGACTTTCGCAAGAAAACATATTCTTGGAAAGTAATATTGACTTTTGCCGACTTGCTACGAGCCGTAAATTATAAAAATTAATATTATGTAATAATAGTTTTATATAAGAAGGATTATTAGATAAAATGTATCTGTTATAGATATTTTTTCTACTCAAGTTGTGCATACGTCGAATGTTACAAAGTGTGCTTGTATAACAAAAGATCATTGTGCACTGTCCATCATTTGCCTGTACATCTTTTCATCAATTGCAATCATGTTTGGAACGTGATTATTGGTAATATCTAGAGAGACTTTGATATTTTCTTCTGAGATTTTCAAATTAGATGAGAAATCTTGACGAGTTAAGAATAAATTATATATACACATACATGCACACAGACACACGTATAGTGTAACAAAACGATTGTATGAAATTTTTTGCAAACGAGGGCTGTGCACAAAATTCATACGCGGTATAAAATTTAACTTGGTGAAGTGAAAGGTAAAACAAAGAAATTGTTATAAAAATGCTTGACGATAAGTTGATAAGTATAAATTTTGACACGTGCATATATTTCACGAATTATATTATTCCATTTCTCTCTCAATGCAGTTAGATGTGTGTAATTTACAAAGTACTACATATTTGTAGAAAAACAAAAGATAAAAAAAACGATTTCATCAATTTGGATTTATAATTATACAAAACCAGATTTTATAGATTGTCCCCCTTATTGAGATAATTTTGCTACGTCATATGATCTCTGATCAGAGTGAGAGAGGATGTAAGTACAGAAATATAGAACAGTATTTAAGCCGTGTCTTTGTTGTTTAAATACTAAATGTATTTTTTTGTTAATTGACTTACAAATTGATCTGTTTTTTTTATTATATCATATTACGTCTCAAAACTATACATGCACACACACACACGTCGGATGTTCTTTTAAATGATGGATTTTTTTCAACCAACTCGAATTTTTCCTCAATGAAAATATTGAGGAAAGTCATCATTTATTGCAACTTTCTAATATTTTACATTATACATTCTCTGTAAATGTGTCAAATTTCATATTTAATCTTTTTTAACTGAGTTTAAAATTAAATGCAGGATATAACTTTATTTGATTTCTTCAAATTTAATTTGCAAACAGCTCTTCTTTTTCAAATATTTACTATTCAAAAATTATTAATGCCTGAACATTAGAGAAAACTCGACTCCAGAATTTATCGCTAAAGAGATTCTCCGATGATTTTGAGATACCTTGCATGCCTTGTTGTGTTCGAGAACTACTAAAGAGTCACTAATATTAATTAACAAATGCCAATAATGTTGACAATGCAATGCAACTGCAGTAAAATAATTGCAGTTCCATTCATTTCGATATATCCTGCATGCGATAAGGTGATCTTTGATAGAAATATAGAATGACATGCACTCTTGTACAAGCAACTTTTGCTTGGCTTTGTTACATTTCATCATAATCTTTATTTTCCAGTTTGCTTTTCGAATTTGAACAGCATAGATATATTGTATGAGAAATGGGATGCTTGAAAAGTAGATTTCTCGAACAGTTATTGACTCGCGCTATCGTCCTGCAGAAATCTCAACTTCAGAGTAACTGTACTCGGAGTCGTAACATCGGCAACGTTTATTTCAGTACCGTCTCTTAAACCTAACTCAATCAAAGTCTTAGACAAATTCTCCCGAGTCTTCTCTTCGATGCTCGCTACCATTTGCATGTACAGAGTTTTATTTTTACCGTCTATTATAGCCGTAAGACCGGGATTTTTCATTTGCATATCTGGCCGTTCGCATAGAAGATCTATCAAATTCTGTAGTTTACATTTTGAATCTTTGATCTCGATCTCTCGCGGTACTTGACTACACGCCAGGCAATCCGTCCTTTTTTCTGCCTCGTAAGTGTACGTGTAAATTCCGTCCAGATCGTTGAGCACCTAAAAAGGAAATATGTACTCTTTTTTTTTACCGTTTACCTCATCGAAACCCTGTTGACATAAATATGGCCCACTTTCGCGTTACGATCGAAATATAATACGCATGATATAATACACCTTGATCTTCTTATCAAATGCAAATTGAAGATCGAGGACTCTGGAGATTAATGAACTGTATAATTGAAGATTAAAATTCAATCAATCACACATACAGAACAAAGAATTAAAGTTATTTGATTGTTCGAATTCAAATCTCCAATTTGCAATGCTCAATCTTCAACGCGTAGTTCGATTTAGGCTCTATATTTGGTCTACGACACAAAGTACATTACTGATTTATCGTATGTAATTACCATGTAATTAGTTAAAGATGCGCTACAACTGGTCGCGAGCTTGAACGCTTCTGTCGCGCAGACAGCGGCGATAGCAGCGTTCGTTGACGCCACCGCCGGTATGATGTTCTTGACGACGCCCTGCACGAGTCTGTACGTCAAGCCCTGTATGCCAAATTGAGTCGCTCTGTCGTTGGACTTCTCGTAAATCCAGTTTATGTGCTGGGGATCGTCCCCGTCGATGGCGCAGTCAAACGGATTCTCCTTTGGCCACTGAATTACCTTCACATACTCTACACAATGCTCGGGCAAACGTGGAGTATTGGCTATCGTACATAAAGGATATGTGACCTATGTGAGATACAAACAAGTTTCTAACGTACGAAACTAGCCTTGTCGACATAATCGAATCTCGAAAATGGAATACTGGAGATTGTGCTCACTTGTGGTGGGTAAAGGTCCAACGTACACTCGATGCAAGGATTCATGCCGGGTAATATAACACGAACGTTTCCCTTGAAACCTTCGGTCCCACCGTCGATCATTGGTATCAC